GCCGTCGCTGTCCCGGCCGCTGTCGCTGTCGCTGTCTCCGGGCGCGTACGACGATTCAGACGCGCTCATTTCACCTGACTGCACTTTGCGGCCCAGGGAGGCCGACCCGGGTGATCTGCAGTCGCGACTTGGGCACCAGGGCCGGCCGAGCTGGGCGCCCTGTATCGATCGCAAACGTCGTTTAAATAATTATAATAACTTATTCTGCCCGGCTCGACCCAGTTGGCCGGCTTGGCTGCTTAGAGCGAGTGAGCCGGCTTGGCTGGGCATGCCAGAGGTTTGTACCATGGAAGCCTTGAAAGCAGACGAGCTCGTTGCCATGGCAGCACGCGCTTCGACATTAGGTATATTTCGAGTTGTTCGAAGTTTTAGTATTCGTACAACAACCCGATTCGGCTTGCGAAAAATGCAAAGCCTCTCAGGTGTCCAAAGGCCCCGCGACGCGAGCTTCACTTCGCAAAACGGAAAAATCAGACAAGGCTACAGGCCTGTGCAGGGCCTGGGCGTGGCGCACCACCTATGCGTTGTTCCGTCTCGGACAGGTCCTCGCCGCCTGCAGCGCACAGCTACACTGACCAAGTCCTCCGTTGCAGCGTTGCCTTTTTTCGATGTGAGCGTTGTAGGTACATGGATTTAACAATCAGCAGGTGTTAGCACGCATAATCGGTAGCAGGCGTCTTGCATTGCGATGATGCAGGCATTGGCCCTGCCACGCTGGGGCCACTGCATGCTGCACCTCCGTGTCCACGCAGCGCCCCACACAACAGCTTCCCGGCCTGATACCGCCGCGGAATGTCAGGTTTCAGTAGCAATGCTTCAGTCTCTCGACTCTTTTCGAGGCGTGGTGCACGAGGACATGGCGCTGGCTTCGGCGCTGCGCGCCCCCGCACACCACCTGCTGGCTTGCCAGGTCGCAGTCTATGGAACGCCCTTTGGGTGAGGCGTCCACAATTTATGACTCTTATATAAGCCGTACTCAAGATGATTGGCGTGCGAGTGAAGATTATTGGCGTTGCTGCCTGCCTGGTCTCCCTGCATGGGCGGTGCACGTGGGGTTGATGGCGCGCCCAAACCCACCCTGGTGGTGCAGGGCGCCAGCACTGCAGGACCTGGACACGGCTGGCAGCTTATCAGAGTCCGACAAACAGGTGGGGGAACCTTGGCGCTTGTGAGGGCCGCACTGCCAGATTGCTGCCCTGCGGACGCACTGGCAGCAGAGCGGTCAGCTTGGTGGCTTCATTCGCACGACAGGGTGCACATACGCCGCCACGCGGTTGGTCGCACAGTCTTATCGATGGCAAGCAGCACGCAGGGCAAGTAAGCTCGATATGGGCATGGCGTCAGTCAACAATTCGAGACACAATTTGTTGTTATGCAGCATGCAGTCGGCGCCTGATCAGACTGATCAAGCATGGACCCACTCGCAGTTCGCGGCCTGCCTGGCTGCTCCGCCTGACTTGGAGGATGGGACCACAGCCAGCAAGCTTGCCGCGCAGCGCAACCTAGCTCGCATGACAACCATGGTGAGCAGCGCGTGCGTTGAATTGCTGCAACAACACCTGCTCGCATGTGCAACTTGTGCACAGCTCACGCATAACTGCCACAGGAGCGGTTGTCCACAAGTGCCTCTTCCTCCATAGCAATCACTCGCCGGCCTGAGCCCCGTAATCTTGCCACCTCCTGCCCACAGGCACGCATGCAGCACGCTGAGTCGCTCATGCGGCCGCCGCAGCATCAGCAACAGCTGCAGCCAATGGTGCTGCCGAATGCGGCCGACGAGCGGCTTCAGACGCCGGGGATGCAGCAATGCACCAGCAGCAGGAAGAGAGGTGGCGCGGCGGGGCCGCAGGCTAGCCTTCCAGAGAGCGGCGGTGGGGATGGGGCCTTTTCCCGGTCGGTGTCTGAGGCGAGGCGGGAAGCCGGCACGCAGTTGCCGCGGGAGCAAGCCCTCGCCACCCCGAGCGAGCGGGAAGGGCTGTGCACAGCGGGCCACGCGGGCCACGCGGGCGACGCGGGCCACGCATGGGCAGCTGCTCCATTGCTGCTGCAGGGATGCAGCGACGCCGTGGGTGCCCTGGTGGGGCTGGGGGCGCTCTTCCTCTCTGGGTTCGCGGGCTTCAACGCAGAAGACCAGGGGGCCGCGATGCAGCGCCGTGTGGTTGCGCTGATGCGCGTGGCCGCTGCGGGTGTGCCTGCGCAGCCCGCAACCTGAAGGTGGTTTGAGTCATTTGATGACGTCATCAAAAGAGTGGCGAGCAAGTAAGCAGGTTGGGCGAGGTGTGGTGTCAGCGGTCAGCGCACAGCAGTACGAGCGTGTTGACCATGCCCGGCCTTGAAAGAAAGGCGTGCTGCTCGTGAGGAGGCCGCACATCTAGGAATCAAATGTTACTTAAAAGTCTTGAAGGTTGAGTCCATGTTGCTGGCACTGCGTGGCGGACAAAAGCGCAGGTGCAACAGTTGATCACCACACCAGCTCACGTCACTGCCGGCCAGCAAAGCACGGCTGCCGTCCCACACACCAGCAGCCACAGCGTCTGGCGGTCTGTGTAACTGGCAAACAGTCATACCGTATGTTCAGACGATGATTAGAGCTGCGGCTTTCAGGGCTCACCGAGCCACGGCACCCAGCCTGATCTACTCATTTGGACGCCGTGAGGGTACTGTGTGTGCTATAACGACCGCAAACATGCCCACAAGTGAGGGTACGAATGGGGCTGCTGCAGTACTCTCGCTGGTGTCAGCGCTGTTTCAAGCCGTGCGCACCCCAAAACGAAGCCCGGTTGCACAACGCACGGCGCCACACTGTGCCGCTGGTCGCAACCCTTGCTATTGGCAGGTGCGCGGACGACGCAGACTGGAGAGTTTGTGCAGCGCCAGCTGGGCGAGGATGTAATAGACCTGGCGGCGGGGCAGGTAAGGCTGATGAGCCACCACGGCGTGAGGGCCATGTGCACTAGCTGTGCGCACTCAGAAGCGGCAGCCCTCCCAAAGAGGTTCGAAGGCGGTGCGCTGCCTGGACGCGGACCCGTGCAACCCGCTGCAGCGCCTTTGCGGGCCGCCGCACGCTCTGCTGCGTCTGCGAGGGCTCATGCATGGCGCCACAGCAACAAAAAGTCTGTCCCTCACCACCGCCGTGCCGCCGACTCCGCGACCCCTCTTTGCCACCAGCCCGCGCCTTCATCGCTCCCACTCGATAAGATTGCGGCGGCGGCTGCTCACCGGTTCGGCTCGCCGGGCGCAAACCCGCTCATGCTGCAGTGAGCTGCGCCGCACGCGGCAACAGATTGGACAGCTTATGCAGCAGCAGCCCTGAAAACTGACTGCTGCTGCAGCTGCTGCTGCTGCTGCTAGTGCTGCTGCTGCTGCACCTGCCACCGCCGTCGGCACCCCTCCCCATATTCCTTGCCGGCAGCTCTTCCCACCCTCAAGCAGCGTGCCCTACATTCCTCCCCTCCTACGCAAGCATGCTACCACGCAAACACGTAATTTGCATACATGCCGAATGCACCCTTCCACCCTCTATCACTCACAAGGTATGGCCCTGAGCAAGGTTACGCCTCATTCCGCCAGAGCCTGGCCGGCTTCCTCAGCAGCCACTACGGCCACGAGGTCGTGGCCGACGAGCTCATAGTCACCGCAGGTGAGTGACACAGCAGGTGGCCGGGTGCAGGTGTGAGGGGTGAGTACTAGTGACAAGCGCCGTGGCGGCGCGGGGCGCGGCAGTGCGTTCAACTGGGTGCGATTGCGATCGAATTTGTTGGAAAGGGCTGAGAGCTTGGTGTCCTGAGGCGAGGGGCGATGTGCAAGGCACGCCTACTTGAGATGCCCCCGGCCCTGGCCGATCGCGCCGCCAGGGGTCTCCCATGGAATCGACCTGGTGTGCCGCCAGCTGGCGTCACCCGGGGATGTTATCGTCGTGGAGCGGCCCACCTACTTCCTGGTGCAGGGAATCATCGATCAGGTGAGGCAAGGAGTGCTTGGTTTGGAAAAACGCAACACAGGTTGCAGATTTGCTGGAGGTGTTGACTTGTCTAGTTGCACGTGCTCGATAAATGTCTCGGAATTGTCGTGCACTCACGACACACATGGCGTCCGATCCCACTGGCTGCCGCCGCCACCGACGCCGCCGCCGCCACGCGTGCAGTGCCACCTGCGAAGCGCTGATATCCCGACAGACGGCCAAGGCCTGGATGTGGCGGCCCTTGAGGAACTGATAGAAGAGGGGGGCCTCAGGTCGGCATTGGGTGGGCCTTGGGTTGGAGCGAAGCCGCTCGCTGGCAGGCAGGGCGGCCAACACAATCTCAACGCAGGTCGCCGATTATTGTGATTGCCCAGCTCCAGGGACGCTTGCTGGAACCACATTTGTCAGGCCTGCCGAGCAGGGGTCCAGCCTGGAGGTCCTTGACAAGATGATATGATATGATGCAGCCCCTCGTGCGGGGAGCGCAGTGTGGCCGTTTGCCCTCGCTAACACAGTGTGCTCGCCGCGCCGGCCCGCACCTTCCCGACCAAACCGCAGGCCACGCCTGCTGTACACGGTTCCCGTGCACTCCAACCCGCGCGGCGCGGTGCTGTCCCTTGAGCGGCGGCGGCGGCTGATCCAGCTGGCGCACCGCCACGGGTTCTACATCCTGGGTAGGCAAGGCGGGGCGCCGCGACGGCGGGCCGTGGGGGAGCCGCCTATGTGTTCGCAGACGCCGCGGCCATGGCGGCGCGCCGCACGGCTGCACCCCAAGCGCGCCTGCCGCCGTCTCGTCCGCCCGTGCGCGTCTACTATCTTGTGTGCTCGGCAGCCTCATCCTGGCCTTGGGCGAGGCTCACGCGACTGCCCTCCTGGTCGCCCCTGCTCACTTAATTCATCATTCCACTGCTGTCAGGCTGACCATGCACCCACAACAACCCTGCTACACAACCGATGCCATGCACCCCGCCCCTGAGCCCCCCCTGCTCAGACACCACCCCAAACCGGCCCTCCCTTGAGCCTCACTCCCCTCCAACCGCTGCTGCTCCGACCTCTTATAATGACATACAATTTCTCATATCCACACGACCTCCCCAGCCGATGAGGTGTACCAGCTGCTCAGCTTCCCGGACGCGCCCCCGCCCCCACCGCCCATGAGGGCCGTCGAGCTGCAGCTCTTCGAGGAGGGAGCCCTGCCGTCACCAGGTGACGGCGGCGGTGATGATGATGTCAGCGGCGGCGGCGGCGCGGGGGAGGCGCCCACGGGGGCATCCGCGGGGGCGCTGGAGGACTGGAGCGCGGGGGTGGGGCAGGGCGAGGGCCCGCAGCAGCAGCATGAGGCCGGCGGCGGCGGCGGGCAGGGGCTTGCGCAGGGGCTGCAGCGGCGGCGGCGGCGCCTGGCGTCGTCGCAGGTGGTGTCCCTCGGATCCTGGAGCAAGATGCTGGCGCCCGGCCTGCGGCTGGGCTGGGCGGAGGCGTCGGAGGCGGTGCTGCAGCGGCTGCGCGCGTGCGGCGTCCTGCAGAGCGGCGGTGCGCGGCGCGCGCATGCCTGCAGTGCAGGACGGCTGCAAGCGCCGGTGGCGTCTCCGGCGCATTGGGCTGGCTGTTGCCCTCATGATCCGCTACGACAGTCACTTGCTCGTGCTGGCCGGCAACCGGGCAGCGATTCCCGCTGCTTCCCCTCTCTCATCTTCTGGGCGTCACGTTCAACGGTCGCCAGATAGGGTAGCATCCGGAGTCCCAGCCGGCTCCGCCCTGTTTCAAAAAGTCTCGACACGCACACGCGCGTTTGCCAATACCGCAGGCTGCATCGCGCCGCTGTCTGCGGCGGTGGCGCACAGCACCCTCGAGCTCGGCCTGCTGCAGCAGCACCTCGACGGCGCCGTGCTGCCGTCGCTGGCGGCGCGCTGCGGCGCGATGTGCGAGGAGATCGACAGGCACCTGGTGCCCCTGGGCTGCAGCTACAGCCGGCCGGAGGGGGGTTACTTCGTGTGGGTCGCGTTTCCGGAGGAGGTGCGTGGGCTGTGCTGCGTTTTGCAGCTGGTACATGCTTGCACGCTCTGCAGTGGGGGGGGGGGCCCTGTGGTTTTTCGTGGCGGGCTGCGCAGCCGGTTGGGGCGCGCGGGCGGCGCGTGGCGGGGAGTTGGGGTGGCGGGGCGACAGGGGCTGCGCGGCGGGCGGCGGGCATGGACCACGTGGGCGGAGCGTGGAGTGGGCGAGCGGGCGCGTAGACACTTCGCTCGGGTTGTCTGCGCTTGCCGGGCTTTGTCTTGGAGCTTTGCTGGCGGCTGCAGCCGCGCCTGGCAGCCCGCGCGCCTCACCACGCAATCTGGCCGCCAATCACATGTCTGTTTGCAGCTGTGCAGGTGCTCGCAGCCTCCACCCCAGCTGACGCCCCTGGCCGATGTTTCTTGTTGTCACTCCCCGACCGCCAGGTGGACACTCGGGAGCTCCTTGTGCGCGCGGGGGCGCGCCACAGCGTTCGCTTCTCCCCCGGCCCGCTCAGCCACGGCCGCGCGCACGACGCGCGGCTGTGCTTCGCCTTCTACTCCGAACCCGAGCTGCGGGTCGCGGTGGCGCGGCTGGGGGCGGCGCTGGCGGAGCACCTGGCAGCGGCGTGACCGGCGGCGAATGGGACGCGCCTGCTTTCCTCTGCTGCTTTGAGGCTGCCTGGAGCACCAGTGGCCTGGAGTTGCTGGACTGCCTGCCTGTGTATCATTGGTTCTTTTTTCTGTAAACTGTCCTATATTTCGTTTCGTTGGTCTCAGATTTCACATGATTACTCAGTACTTTTTTGTCCTTCACACAGCCCTTCACAGGGACTTGGGATTGAGTACATTGCTTTGGTTACTTTACAATTCGTAGCTTTGTCAGGCTCCAAGGGGATGCGTGGGTTCTGAGGCGCCCAAATGAGAAAAACAGGGGTGCGCAGGCTGTGTACAGTACCTGCGGGCGCATGTCACAACACGCTGGATAGCTGCGCAGGTGACATGCCCGAGTACGCTGGGTGGCTGTGTCGTCATTGCACAGTGATGAAGCTGGTGTGCATCAAGCAGCACATCATGCAGTAACAAAAAGATACAAATCCACAGCAAGAAATTGCAAGGACAAAGTGTGTCAAGAAGTGCGAGATGGCAGTGGCGCACAGGTCTGGAACGGCAGCTCTTACAGCTGCGAAATGTGAGGTGCCATCAATTGCAGGTGTCTGGAAGATTGCGAACCAGCTTTCATGCAGCCGGGTGTTCATCGTGCTAAAGTACAGCGGTCATCCTTGGGCCAAAGTAGGGGCACCTTCAGGGGGGCAGCGACGCCTGCGTGGGCAGCATGCAGGGGGGAGGCACAAGATGAGAAGATGCAGATCAGGCGATGCGGAGAGCACGTGATCAGTGATGGGAACAGCGGGGAGGCGGCGCTGGCGGAAGGGACGAGGCCTCAGCATAGTGTTTATCAGTCAGTTGCGGCGCGCGCCGCGAGCGGGCGCGCCTCAGTGTGTGTAACAAATATGAGCATCAGGGGCCAAGGGCAACCATGCACGCCCGCACTCACACACGCACGTGCGCATCACACAAAAACTCAGGGCCCAGCAGACTGCCATCAGACAAATGCCTCGGTTAACTTCACAAGTGCGGCGTTGCCCCGGGCAGGACGCCCGTTGCTACCACTCAGATTCGTCATCTAATGTTGTTTGTCGTCACCTGGCGGTCAGGGCTCAATCACCAAAACAAACGGCGCTACACCACAATGGCACGCCCCCAAACATAATTGCCACCCCGCACCTTTGGAGGTCGACCTCGGTTGACGGTGGTGGTGGCCATTGTGAATGGCTTCAAGGAAAAGAATTCTGGAAAGTGCAGCAGTTGAGTGGTGGCAACACACGAGTCTGTCAGTGAAGCGCATCACCAATCGCGGCCCGGCACGGCAAGTGCAACCAGTGCGGCAAAGGGGCCATGAAGAGGTTGAATGGACGAAAATCGCATTGGTTTGCACAGGCTGTCGCATGCTGGGTAAGACCCAAAGGGTAACTGCCCCGACGGGGCTCCCCAAGGTGATGGAATCAGCAGTCGACGCGCCACAGGAACCCCCGGGGGGGCTCGACCGGGGCGCGCGTCACTCTGCGGCGTTGCTGCGCGGACTTTGCGCCCACGGTGGGGTTGGCTCCGAGGAGCCGGGCGCTCCGATGCAGCAGCTGGGTGAGACACAGCCTGTGTGCCGCCCAGCCCGCCGGGGTGTGCGTGTGATCGCGCAAGGGTGCACGGGGGGCAGGCAGGAACGAGCACCAGGCTGGCTGCAGACTTGGGGCAATGCTTTGTCGCCATCCACACAACCAACCTATGCGTAAGTGTGCGTGTCGAAACAGCATAGGCAGCCACTCTTGAGACCAGTATCGGTGAGGGCACCCGGATGGTTGGCCCTGAGAGGCGCGACGGCGTTTGGGGGCGATCAGAAGGGAGGCACTCGGAGTGTTGCGGGCTGCAATCGCCTCACCAGCTGCGCGTCAGTAGCGCCCGCAACAGCCCCAGCACATGCAGTCCTTTGGCCTCAGCATAGATATGTGTTCATCAATTGGGGCGCGAGCCCTCAGGAATTAAAACAAAGATTTTGATTATCAGCGGCCAGGAGCTCTGGTGAACACGGCCAAACAAGCATGCTGACAAGCACATACAAACACACACACACATGTGCGCAACACACCACAACACAGGGCCCAGCAGACTGCCATCAGACAAATGCCTCGGTTAACTTCACAAGTGCGGCGTTGCCCCGGGCAGGACGCCCGTTGCTACCACTCAGATTCGTCATCTAATGTTGTTTGTCGTCACCTGGCGGTCCCAATACAAGCCAAGTGCCGCAAAGGCAAATTAACATGCGAGCACGCGCCGCGATGCAATGCGATGGCCCACCTTGGATTGTGGGGGCAGGACCAGCAAGTTGGCATCTTTGAGCTGGTGATGTCTGTGCTGTTGTTGACGGAATCGGCTGATTATTCAGCTTGAAATATGTCCTGCATGATGCAGGAAGTTGGGTTTGGATGTCGTGAGCGAGAGGCACCAGCAGAGGGCGAAATGCGGGCATGCGTGCTGGTGAGGAGGGAGTGCATTGATACAACATGAAGCTGGTAGCTCAAGGGCTGTCGCATGCTGGGTAAGACCCAAAGGGTAACTGCCCCGACGGGGCTCCCCAAGGTGATGGAATCAGCAGTCGACGCGCCCCAGGAACCCCCGGGGGGGCTCGACCGGGGCGCGCGTCACTCTGCGGCGTTGCTGCGCGGACTTTGCGCCCACGGTGGGGTTGGCTCCGAGGAGCCGGGCGCTCCGATGCAGCAGCTGGGTGAGGCACAGCCTGTGTGCCGCCCAACCCGCCGGGGTGTGCTTGCGGTGGCATGCGAGCGGCAGGCAGGTGCATCAGGCGGTGGCTTCTAGAATGATCAGCCATCTGTCAATCACTCGACTGCCCACCTGTGCGTTCATGTTGAGATGTTATGTGCTGTACGCTGGGACATGTCCACGCCTGTGCAGACGAGCGGCCTTGATGTGCTGGGGGCCATACCAGCCGCCGCAGTAGGAGAGGCGGCGGCTGGGTGACAACACCTGGAGGCAAGGGGGATAGGGCAGCCGGGATTGCGCGGTGAGCAATTGCAAACGGATCAGAATGCAACGCAAGCACGTTGAGGGGCCAGTTCAGAAGAGGACGCGCGCGGCACGAGACGATCTCGAGAGGACTGCTCACCGCTGAGGCTGCATTGAGAATGTGCTTGAATTGACCGTGTGCGCCATACGTGGTGGGTCATCAGCGAAGAGCTGCCTGTTGTCGCTGGAATGGTGATCTGGGGCTGCTTGTGTCTTTTTCAGTGCACTGTTAGAACGGGCATGCGCAAGCTTGATGATAGCACATGTGATGATCGACTCGCTTCATGATGTATTGTGCTGGCGAACTGCTGCCCAGTAAATATGTCATCAGTAGGAACTAGTGAACTGTTTCAGCTGCCGCAGTCACGGAGTGACATCGGCCGTGTGCTGTTCTTTGGCTGGTTTTGCGCTTGCTGTATGCCACACAACCACTGAATTGATTGTACTATCTGCCTTGTTGAACCTGGGGTGATGATAAGCACCTGCAGCGGCACAACCCGGATCGCCCCAGAGGTTACATTCACACAGGGCAGCTGCCGCGGGGGTAAAATTGAGCACCTCTCGTAAGCACAGAACCTCTGCCACAACAGCGAGAAACCTGCAACTGACAAACCGGTTGTATTGCGACAAACACTTTCCTGCACAACAGCAACACTCATGCATGCACGTATGCCCGTGACACACGGCTGGCTGCGTACAGAGCCACTCAGGCCGCCCGAGGCGGCTGGGCGCTCACTCAGCCAGCCGCTCCACCCCAAGAGACACCTCCTTGACCGCGCCGCCCTCGTAGCTGCGCGCCGCGACCTGGCGCACCCCGCCCTCCGCCAGCGCCCCCGATTCGATCCAAAAGTTGCCGCTGCCATCTGCGCGCACCGCAGACCACGCACCCAGTGGCAGCCGCGTGAGGACCGCACCCTCTGCACCAATCGGCGCCGCGCCGCGCGCGCCGCCAGCCGCCGCCGGCCGCAGCGCCCCGCCGTCAGCCACCAGGACGACCCCGCCCTCGACCGCCCAGCTGCCGCGCAGCTGCTCCTCTGGGACAGGCTGCAGGCCAGAGATGGTCGGCTGGCCGCCGCCGCAGCCGGCGAGCTCCTGCCGGCCGGTGTGGGGGCCGTCGTACCTGCGAGAAAGGCGACACGTCATCGAAGAGACTGTGCATGGCAGCCCGATTCGCAGTACATGGCCCGCTGCGGACTTGTGTCGCTCAGCGGCCTCATCTTATGCGTTTGCCAGCGGTGATCGACACGCGCGCTGGGTGTATCACGACGTCGGGGGCGCCCACCCATGGGATGCCCGGCCGGGGCTGCCTTGGCTGGGTGCTGAGAACCCGCTCGCACCCGCGTGAGGGCACCAAAGAGCACATGCAGGGCCCTCCGCTTGCACACTGCACACATGTGCGTGCACAGATACACAATCACACTCACCAAACAACACACAAGCGCATGCATGTGCACACACACACACACACGCACACACGCACAAACACACACATCACAAACATATACACACACACGCTCTTTCAACAAGCCTTGCGCCGCGCACACCGATGCACGCGCTCACGCACGCCCACCTCTCCCTATGCAGCTCCACGCTCGCGACCCGCCAGCTCCCGTCCGCCCAATTGCGCGCCAAGTTCTGCGCCACCTTCAGGCGGTACCTCGGCGGCTGCGCGGCCGCCGGCCCCGGCCCCTCCTCGTTCCCCGCCGGCGCCGCGGCGCCGCCGCCGTTGCTGAGGATGCCCTCCGTGCTGAGGCCGGGGCCCGCGAAGCACGCCTCAAAGCGCAGCTTGGATGCGTTGACCAGGTCAAAGCTAGCGGGGCCGGTCGTGTAACTGCCGTCCGGCAGGTAGGCTAGCGCCGGCGCTTCGCCGCCGCCGGCAATGGCCGTGGTGGCGTCCTGCGTGAAGGCGACGGCGTCCGCCTCGCAGCCCACGGTCGGCATCAGGCGCCGCAGCACGACGCTGCGGCGGCGGCGCGTGCAGGCGCATGCGGACGCTCGCTTCAGTCTGCTGCATGGCAGCGCGTGAGCGCAACACATGAGCGCACTAGCGCACATGCCTCTGCATACGGTGTTGGGCCCGCTTGAGGGACATTGCATGGAGAGGTGCCACGATGAACAAGAAGCCCGCCATCACGAATGGCCAACCGGCAGGTCGCTGCTCTTAAATCGCACCTTAACTGCCTGCCATCGCCTGTGGTGCAGCTGCACTGCGTCTGCCAGTCGCGGATCTCCACGCCCCAGTCCCTGTAGGCGCCGGGAACGTAGTGCTCCGGCAGCGGCTGGGGCGCGCCGTCGGCGGCGTAGGATACGCTCACGCCCTCCCACTCGCCTGCGGGTTGGGCGCCCCGCGCCGGAGGAGGGGTGGGTCGTGTGCGTGGGGCATGCCTGCGATATTCGATGGTGCGTTGATGTGCACACTGCGCAGCGTGCAGGGCGTATGCTGGAGGGTCCCCGTGCTGCGCACGCCGAGCGCGCCTGCGGGGTGGTGTGAGAGGCGTCCACACTCACCCGCAAACTTCGCGCCAAAAGCAGCCCACGTCTCATCAGTCTGCTCGACCACAAACGCTTGGTTTGTCGAGGTGGGCACGGCCCGAATGGCCCTCAACGTGCCGGAGCGAGGTGGGTGGCACCTCAGCTGCTGCCTCACTCGAAGGCCTGTGCTCTGCATAGGCGCTTGCATGGTGCTGTGACGCTGTGACGGACTAGAGTATATCGTAGGAATCGTTCGCGCTAGCTTGTTATCGCCTACACACCGCCCTGGTAGGCATATTAGCTCGGCAGGCTGCTATCTCTCACCCAACCGGCGCCTACTGACACAGACGAGGACGCATCATGGATCCCCAAGCCGCGTTGCAACAAGCGTGCGTCCGCGGAGATGCAGATGCGGTGGCCCGCGCGCTCGCCGACGGGGCGGACATCAATGCGCCGTTTGACATGCAGGTGTGCAGCAAGAAGTCACTGGATTCAAAAGAAACAGGTGTCTTTGCCGTGTAGGCACGCCGCAGCAGCCACACTGCCCCTTAGCCCACAGCAGCAGCGGCAACGAGTGGGTTGCTGCGGGAGACGGCGGCGGCAGCACGGCCTGGTTAGTCAACTGACTGAGTTGCCCCCGGCCACCCACAGCGGGACACCCGAAAGGCGATCGAAGCCCGACACCTCCGCCCGCATCCCAGCGACGCAATCAACAGCGTGCCAGGCCCCCAGTCAGTTGCGCCCCGCCCCTTCAACCCCTCGACCCGCTTGCCAACCGCCCTCCACGCCCCCCTCCCTCAATCTCCCCCTCCTCGTCCCGAAACCACCCTGTTTCTTGCAATGCGACAGGGCACCCGCGCGATCCACATCGCGGCCCGGCAGGGCCACGTAGCAGCCGTCCAGGCCCTGCTGCGCGTCCCCGGCGTCGACGCGCTTGGCCCCACAAAGCGAGCCGAGACCCCGCTCTTCTTCGCCTGCAGGGACAACCGGCCGGCGGTGGTGGCACTGCTGACGGACCCGACGCGCCGCGAGCGCTTCCGCCAACGCCAACACGAGCGCCCGCCCACCGCGCCCTCCACCGCCGCGTCGCCGGACGAGGCCGCCGCCGCGGCGGCAGCGACAGCACCACCAGCGGTCGCGGACGGCGAGGACGACGAGGAGGGCCGCCGGCTGCAGCGCCGCTGGGCCGACTGCGCGACCGGCTGCGTGCCCGTCGCCGCGACGCGCGGCAATCTCGAAATCCTCGAGCTGCTGCTCGCCGCCGGCGCCGACCCCGACGGCCCGCCCGGCGGCGGCATCCCGCGGCCGCCGCTGCAGCTCGCCTGCGAGAACGGCCACGCGAGGGTGGTGCGGCTGCTGCTCGACGCGGGCGCCCGCGTGCCAGAGGGCGGGCTGGAGGGCTGGACCCTCTGCCTGCGGCTGGTCCGCGAGTGCCTCGCGCTGTGGCAGGCGGACATCGCGGCGCTGCGGGAGGCGGCGGCGGTGGGGCCGGCGCTGCAGCAGCTGGTGGTTGACGCGGCGGGGGCGCTCAAGGAGTTGCAGGAGACGCGGCGCGGCGGCGGCGGCGGCGGCGGCGACGGCAGCTTTGGCAGCGGCGGCAGCGGCGGCGGGCGTGGCGGCAGCGACGGCAGCAGCCGTGATGTTGGCGGCGCGGGGGCACAGCTGCGCCAGCTGGCGGGCGGGCGGCCTCAGGGG